GGTGAGAGAAATTACAGCTTATTGCCAACCCTGGGCGGTGCTTTATATAGATGATCTCCCTCCATCCCCACCACCTGGGAGGAGTGCAATAGTAGCCGGCTCAGTTCCAGATAAGAGGACTGAGCCTCTGGGAGTTTAAGGAATTCACCAACAGTCACACAGCCAGCAAGTAGCAGAGCAGGAATTTGAACCGAGATCTTCCTGACCCAAAGGCCATACACGTAACCAGTGACAAGAAACAGAGACAGCAATGACGTCTGGCTGGTTGTTGAAAAGGGGAAAGGAGAGAGAGAAGACTCTGGGGAACAGGCAATTCAGGACTTTACCTCGCCTGCTCTAGGGTGAGTGGGTCTCTGGAGGTACCTCCTTAATGTAGCTGAACTCATCCCTGCTCTGAAGTTGATCAGGATAAAACATGACCAGGATTTTAAAAATGTAGGTTCACATCCTTCTCCTGGTACAATCCCTAGATTTGGGTATAGAGCACAGCACAAAAACAGGCAGGGGCAGAGTCACAGAATTCGAAAGCAAGAAGAGCTCCAACGTGAGACCATCCCTGTTGGCTCGATCATACAAGTGAGAAGAAACCCGTGGCCTGAGAGTGGGAGGCCCTGGGCTTGAGCGGATTTCCTGTGCTCCTGCCCTGTCATCTGCAGTGCCGGTGCAGGCACCTTTTTGTTGCTTAGACGAAGGTGCTACTCACACTTTGGGCTCCAGGCTGCAGAATAATGACCTTACAATCTTCATTTCTTAAACGATTTTAAAAACCACGAAGGCGTAAGATTACTAAGCTTCTTTTGTAGATGGAAGTAATTACAGGGAATGAATAAAACAGAACTTTCAGACATCACTTAGTAACTAGACTCCTTCTTGGAGTTTCTTCTGCTTCCTTGGTTTGAAACAGAAAGATATGACGCCAAGTTATTTTTTCTAATAAATGTTATTTTTATTATACAATTATATAAATGTTATAATTATTATGAAGTTTATTTAAAAACATAGCATAGAAATAATAACTAAGCCATTAAATTAAAAGCTACATCTCTCTGTCTAAATAAAGCCTTATTTATATTTTGATATGTTTTACTTTCTATGTTTTACTTTAATCTATTCTTTAATTCATAAATTTGTAGTACTACAAAGTTATAATCGTGTACTCAATGCTACTTCAATTTGGCTTTTTCCACTTAATCTCACTTTATGCACATTCTTCCAGGTTATTTCATACTATTAAAAACATTATTTGATAATGTCAAAGATGTACAATAAACTCTTCTGTGATCCATCATCTGAGCCCCAGATGCAGAAATGAAAATAAAGGTAACAATACAGTATCTCCCATTACAGTATCTCCAATGTCTCCAACACAAACAGAGCCCTGACTTACTCATCACTGTTTAACACGTTCTGAAATGTCCTTTTTTTTTGGCCTATTATCAGAGCTGTATAACAAAATGACAGATCTCCTAGAAGCTGCCTTTCCTTACAAAGAATTAAAAAATTAATAGACAAAGGCAGAAAAGTAAGAATTCCTAAGCGCACTAGGCTGTACACAGAGGAACCAAGAACCAAGGAGGCCCACACTTAGAGCAAAATGAAAGATTCATTTCAAAGAAACTCGGGAGGGTGATCTAGGTCAGCCAGTTCACGTTTGGCTGTTGGGGACTGAAAGTCACTACCACCTGACAGATGCTTAGTGCCTTGAATGAAACGAGTTGGCCTCATTCCAGTTTCTCGAGAACAGGTGTGTGCATCACTGAAGGAGGGGGGAAATCTACTGTTAATTAACATCTTTGCTGGCAGGCTTAGCAGAAAGTCAAGAGTTCAGTGTCTGTGAAAGGCTGATTTGCTCTGGAGCAGAGAGGAACACACTGATGAACAATTGTGAAACCACAGTTCTCAATAAGTGCCCACATACCATAACTCCACACCCTGACACACGCCTGGGTGGGCATAGTCTACAGATGGTTATGTTGAGGCTTTGAGCCCTTTGAAAAACCCCAAAGGCAGCAATCACTGGCAGCCCCTTCACCAACTAAAACAATAAAATACGTTGCTAGTTGCGTTTCCAGTTTAAACCCTGCCTGTCCCATGAAATTCTCCCTGTCTCTGATCAGATATCGTTCCATACTCTGCATCTCCATTACTCATTGAGCACTCATCTGGTGTGTTCCTTGCATGAGTTTATATTCAGCACATCCAAACAGGTACTGAGAATAAGTGGCCCAGAATAAGTGGCCTCCTTTAAAATTGTGGTATCTACTGCTGATTCCAGAACTGTTCTCTTGCCCCTTACACCCTAGAGAAGCTTCAGAGTCCCTTGAGAGAGCCTTGCTTATCAAATCTAGGTCCTCAGACCAGTTAGACCTCAAGGCTCTATCCAACCCCAACCACATTCCTTACCCCTCTCCAGTCCTATCTTTCCTTATTCCAACCTCATCCTTTCCTCTCCAATCAATCAATTTGTCTTGCTTTCATTATATGGTCGGCAATTCTTTACTCTGTTCCCTTGAACGTATTATCACCCTCACCAGGAATAGTCTCTTCTCTTCTTTCAACTAATCCACTGCCATGACCTATCTCCTCAAAGACTTGGCTTAGAACTACCTCATTAGAAGAGCATTCTCAGACCAGCCATGCATTGGGCATAGTTAGTGGTGCCCTGTATACTTTCTGTGACTGTGTTATCTCTCTGATCACCAGGCTGACCCTTCAAGGACAAGACTATGATCATCATGGTCTAATACAATGCTCTGCACATGGATGTTCCATAAATATTTGTGAATTAAAATGAATGTAACTTTTTAAATGTTCAAAAAGTTAACACAGAAATAACTTTTAAAAAAAATAGAGTTTAGTTAGTAGATCCACTTTTCAAACACAATAAATTGGAGGCCCTCTCAGGGCCAGTCAGATGAAGGGGTACAAAAACCTGAGCGCCTTGCCTCACTTTAGGATATTTTTGAAGGATCACCCCAACTTCAGCAGTCCCATAGAATCAGCCAAGGTCTCTAGGACAATATTCCAGCTCAGCTTTTCCAACTGCCCAATTCTACCTTCCTCCTCCCCTCCCCAACATTTATTGTTCTTGAGAGCACACTCCTGAAAATCTACCGCAGCCAAATCTCTGCCTCTGAGCCTATTTCCTGGGAAGCTGCCTGAAGACACTAAACATGAGTGGAAAGCAGAAATCAGGGCCCACAGTCTGTGCTCTAGCCCAACGATTCTCCATCTTTTTCATCTCGTGGCACACATATTACTAAATTTCTGCAGCACACCCAAAAAGGTCTCATATTTTTTGCTGATCTGACAAAAATAAAAGGTATAATTTTGATTCATTCACACTGGACAGCTGTTATTGTTTTAGCTGTTGTTAATTTTTTATTTGACAATCTAAGGGAAACGAGGTCAGTGCCCCTGACTAAATAAATAGTAGGCATTTCAGGTATTGCGTATTTTAAAAGTTCTCACGGCACACCGGTTGAAATCATATCTCTAACCGGAAACCAGGGGCAAGATGCTGGAGGGACACCTCCAAATCTCCTCACCTAGTGTGTGTCAGCTGTGGAGAACCTTGCGACCCGGCGGAGCCTGGATGCGCATCCCTCCACCCCATGTTCCCTTTGCTCCGGTTGGTGACCTTCCCCGTCCCCCTCTCCCATCAAGTACCCAAACCTCGACATTCTCTCTCTTCTCACCCCTCTTTCCTACCAAGCTGCGTTTTCAGGAGAGGATTTGATCAACTTAGTCACACAAAAGGAAAATTAATTAAATTCATGTACTACTGCTCGGGATTGAAAATAAGCTCATGCTCATTTCAAGTTTAAACCAAGGAAAGCATATGTACAGCAAAATTCCGGATATTTATTTATTTACTCAGTTAAAACATATTTGAGCACCTGTTGGGCAGAGCTGGTCAAGAGCTGTGTGAAAGGGGACTGTTTTAGGTTAGGGGTACCCACCACAGCCTTTAAGAACTAACCATAGTGGCTGACACCACCGGCCTCTGAGACCTCCACTGGACGTCCATCTATGTCCCAGGTGCCATGAGGGTGCATTAATTTTATGGGGCCACTAGCAGCTGATGAATCACCACATTGCAACAGGAGCAGATATCTCTGTGTGGATCCCCCACTTCTCCGGGACTCAATGAAAATCTAGTCTTTTCATATGGAGTTCATTTCACCAGCAAAACAAAGAAGTAGGCGATCAGTCCCTCTTCTGTCAACTCAGAAGCACACGAAAAGCTTTTCTCAAGATCCTAGGAGATGGTTCAGAAGAGGCAGAAGCCTTTTAAATCCAGTCTTCCCTGCTCTTCAGTAGAGGCGTGTTTAGATACTTTTGGACAAGTTCAAGGTACAGGGCACATAGGAAAAATTCACAGAGAGGTTTGCCACAGGCTATCTACTCTCCGAACGATTCCTATGTCTACTAATGGAAGATGTTGCTTCTAAATTTCTCATGTCTCAAAAATGAACACGGGAGTTGCTGCTCAGCTTGTCACAGATGAATATATATGGCTACGAGGCAGCAGGCTCAGTAGAAAGAGCAAGACACTGGAGACTCGACAAAGAATTTTAATTGCCAAAGAATTTTACTGTTACCTTGCTAGGAATCCCCCTATAAGTCAGTCACTTAACCTTTCCTTTAACCTGGGGTGCGGGGAGGTTTGTTTGTTTTTTTTGTGTGAGATTAATACAGGTTCAGTTCACAGTTTGCTATCAGGTATAATTAATAAAATACACAAAACTGTCTATCCTACATTATTCACTAATAATTCCCCAAGATAATATAAACTCTCCCTTTGGCAACATAAATGTAGTTTTTTAAATTTGGTAGATGTGCTTTCATTAATAAAAAGGTAAGGTTTTAAGTACTTAGATGAGCATTTTTAACATACATGTACATGCCAGGGAAACTATAGGCAGAAAATAGTGTGGAGTCTGACTCACCGGGTGAAAGGGGTTGCAGGTGGAAGCTAAAGCTCTAGGAGAACTTACCTTGAAATACTGCCACAGATGACCGAGCACGGGACCGTGTTGTGCAGGTACTGAATGGCTTTGGCTGTTCCAATTAATACACTGATTCGAATGTGCCAGGAGAGTGGGGCTGTGTTCCCCTAAAAAGACAAGAGTAGTTGCTCTAGTTGCACTTTCGGAGTAAAAGCCAGACATGTATTCATTACATAGAAGACTGCCTGAACAGAAGCTGGCCTTACAGTAATGGATTTTTAATTCAAGAAAGGCTTTCCTCTACTTCCAATAGCTGTTCTAGGCCTTTGTAGCTAGTGAGATACCTATTAATGTTAATATTAGTTTAATCAAATTATGGGTAATAAGGTAATTATGTTTAACAGTTCATTAAATAAGATTTTAAAATTATCTGTGGCATAATAGTGTGGATAATTGAAAATAATCTGATTTTATTCTCATCTTAACTGAAACCTATCTTATTGGAATCAATTTTTAAGCATATTTCAAAAAACACCTTATGAGAAATCATGACGTTTGTTCAACCTCCTTCACTTTAAGGAGTCTGTACCATTTTTATGTTTATGTGTATTGAATGGTACCTTGGTAATGTTATATAAATAAAAAATGATCTGAGAAGTAAGAGTAATTGATGTAAACTCATTTGAGATGTAGAATCAATAAGGAGGAAGAACCTAGCAAATCTTTTGGCCACCATGTTGCACAGGACGTAGTAACTCGGGTGTTTATGCCGTCTTCTAAGAGCAAGAAATTAATTCATGGAGAAGTCCTCTGCCTCCTTGGGAAACCCAGTGTAGGTTGTCCCCTCATGTGAACATGTACACTGGGCTCCCAGCTCTCATCAAAGGTTTCAGCAGTTCCCAGGGGCGACAGGGAATTGGAGTAGCAAGAAGAGTAATGGAAATGACTTACTACGCACTGTAATCTGTCAAAAAGTGATCCATTTCTCATGAATGGATAAACCAGGCAGAACTTCTCACTCTCTGTAAAATATGCGGCCAACTCCAGGATGTTTGGATGATGAAATCTTAAAACACAAGATTTGATTTAAATCCATCAAATTGCTTATTCAACAACACTCTGGCCACAGGGTGGGGAATAGGTGTAAAGCAGAATATAGATTTGGCCAAGAAAGAAGTAATTTCATTGGACACACAACACAGGTTTGCTTTCCAAATTGGTCAAGTGTTCTAACAAATACTAGTCACTCTTTGATTGATTGTGACCAAGCAAATACAAATAAAATATCCAAATATAAGACAAAATTTAAGAAAGCGGAGCGTTCTTAAGATTTGGAGTGTTGGAAACTATACAACAAATAGACAACAATACTGAATATTAATTTATTTCTATCAGCATAAAACTCAATATAACTTACTTATTAAATAAGTAAAGATAATGCAACTGAACTTATCCATTTCATTGCTTGAGGCAGACATATGTAAGTTAAGTCACCAAAAGAGAAGAGTACCAAAGGCTTGTTTTCATTCATCCATTTATTGAGAGCTATGATGCTGTAGGTACTGCACTAGGCATCAGTCACACGGGTAAAAGATGTAGCCAATGTCTTCACAAAGTTTGTATTGTTATCTGAAACCCATGTGACTAGTAAAGTTTGATAATGAAACACATATCACTGATTTTTAAATCATAGAATTCTATGTCAGTGTAAGATTCATTTTTCAGGCTCCTTTCCTTCAAGCTCTATTTCTTGAATGTGTGTGTCATCACTGTGAAAACCAATGAAACCCAGGTAATAACTATAAAATACAAAACATGTGAACTTCCCACATACTGTGAATTCAGTTCAATTAATCCATTATTTATTGAACATCTACTGTGTTGTAGGCATGCTTAGTATATTAAAATAAATAAAGCTATTTTTAAAAAATGGTTCTATTTATAAAGACCTATTATTTGTTTCTTCAATAGCAAAACGTTGCTATAACACACACACGTCTATACGGTATCAAAAAAAATGTACACACACTTTGAATAATTATTAATTCCAATAATTATAATTAATAATTATTAATCTGAAAATAAAGAAACATCAATTGAGCTATCAGACAAAAGTGTGTATACATTTTTGGGGACACCCTGTATATAGAAATATCTATCTATAGGGAGATTATCTATCTGTTCATCTTTCTATCTGTCTATCTATCTATCTATCCATCCATCCATCTATATCTCCCTTCTGAGTCCTTCTATTCCTCTTTCCTCAAAAAAGGTGTATGTGTGTGTATGTGTGTATACAAACATATACTCATATACAAACACACAGACTTTTATTGTTAAACTAGTGGCTCAGTGCACAGATTTGTGCACAGTGAAAGGAAATTAATTAGAAGAAAGATTCGTGCAGTAATTACGTTAGTGAAAAAAATTACATGTCAAAATAGTATATATAACATAGTATTATAAAATTAAAACATGTGTGCAATTGGCACCAGCGAGAGCTTTATATGTATCATGCATGCGTGAATCAACATTTATTTTTAAATTGCCAGTGGGCGTCATATGTACTGGCTGGTTCATCAGTCAGACAGTCAGATGGACAGACGGTCGGTCACTTAGCTTTTTATATATAGAGATATGTGAAAAACTGTGACACAAAGATTCCTGCACCTATTATGATTCAGATCATATGTATAAAATGAAAAGCAATGGACTGAAAAGAAAGTGAATTGGTGTATTTGGTTGCTTAAATAGCTGATCTATGCCACTAGCTGGTTGATTCTCCTGCAGCTTAAAATAATTTTATATATATATATATAGGCCTAAGCAACTGAACAACCAAATGACTGGTTGACCAGTCGCTATGACATACACTGACCACCAGGGGGCAGATGCTCAACACAGGAGTTGCCCCCTGGTGGTCAGTGCACTCCCACAGTGGGAGTGCCGCTCAGCCAGAAGCCAGGCTCACAGCTGGCAAGCGCAGCTGCAGTAGCGTGAGCCTCTCCCACCTCCGGCAGAGCTACTGAGTGGCAGCAGCAGCTGGTGCATCATGGCCAGGATGAGCTGGAACAGTGCCTGGCCCCCACTTGGGCTCCTCGCCTGCTGCCTGCCACTTCTCACACTGCTATATCCCTTAGGGGATGTCAGACTGCTGGTTTCGGCCCAATCCCCTCAGGCCTGAGCTGGCCTGTGGGGATCGGGCCAAAACCGGCAGTCCAATATTCCCCAAGAGGTCCCAGATTGTGAGAGGGTGCAGGCCAGGTTGAGGGACCCCACTGGTGCATGAATCTGTGCACTGGGCCTCTAGGGGAATATAAATCTTTTGGAAAGCAGTAAATAGAAGACCTTGTATAGACACAGCCACGGCTCTGCTCTCTTGCTTACAGAGCAGAAATGACCATTTGCTTATTTTTAATTATTACTGATCAAGCAAAAACATGGCTACTTTTTATCAAGGTATGGACCATGGAAATGCCATAGGAATGACTGCTGGTTTTAATGATATGGACCCACCTCACCCACCCTTTCACTAAAACCCTTTCAGTGGGATTTTAGATTATATAGATCTAAAGGTCAGCAAGTTAACCAATATTCTGAGTGCCTACTACAGATAAAGCATGATGCAAGTGACTCTGATGTGGTAGAACAGACAGACTTGAACACAAACCTGGGTTTGAATCTCTGGCTTTCTTTTTACCAGCTGTATAAACTTGAGCAAGTTATTTAATCTCTATAAGCTGAATTGTGTCCCCCCCAAATCCATATCTTGAAACCCTATCCTCGATAATATTTCAAGATGAGGCCTTTAGGAGATAAGGAGGGTTAGATGAGGTCATAAGGGTGGGGTCCTCATGATGGGATTAGTGCCCTTATAAGAAGAAGCAACAGAGTTTACTCCCTTTCTATACCACGTGAGCACAAAACAAGAAGGCAGTCATTTGCAAGCCAGAAGAGAGTCCTCACAGGAATCAAATCTACCTCGACCTTGATCCCAGCCTCCAGAACTATGAGAAAATAAATCTTTGTTGTTTAAGCCAGCCAATCCTGAGAGTCTTATGAAAATTAAAGGTTAAACATTTAGCCAAGTCCCAGAACCTCAGAAATTATTAACTTCTTTCCCTTCCCTTGAGGAAGAAGGGGGGGGGGCAGGGGGAAGAACCAGAAGCCACATTCTAAGGAGTTTAGAATAATTCTATTTAAGGCATAAGGATTAAGCAGTTTCCTTAATATTAAACTAAAAAACAAAACAGAAACTTATCCTCAGGTCTTAGATGGGGTCTAATTAGCTTAGATGTTACTTTTTCCAAGAAGCCTACTCTGCAGCACCACCCCCACCACACACACACACACACAAGTTTCTATTTCCAGTTTCTTCAATGCCTGTTCTTCCTCATCTTATCACTTAATTTTCTGAAATTGCCATTATGTACTTCTCGTCTAATCCCACTCCAAACATCTCAGATACTATGCTCTGAAAGGAGAAAGCTGCATCTATCTTACTCACAAGTAAAACTAGGAGAAGAGGGAGATTGAAGATGATTTAGAAAATAAGTTGAAACTTGTAAAAAAAAGAAAAAAGATAGATTCTACCTCAGTTTCTTCATCTTTATGTAAAATGGGGATAACAGCTGTACTTACCTCATAGGCAAGTTGATTACCACATAGGTAATCCTATAATTATCTCATAGTATTAAAGAATCAATACATGCCCTAACTGGTTTGGCTCAGTGGATAGAGCGTCGGCCTGCAGACTTAAGGGTCCCATGTTCGATTCCGGTCAAGGGCATGTACCTTGGTTGCAGGCACATCCCCAGTGGGGGGTGTGCAGGAGGCAGCTGATCGATGTTGCTCTCTCATCGATGTTTCTAACTCTCTATCCCTTTCCCTTCCTCTCTATAAAAAATCAATAAAATATATTTTTTTAAAAAGAAGGAACTCTCACCATTTGGGGGGAGGTTGGGGGTTAATGGGGGGGATGAGGACACATTTGTAATACCTTAATAATAATAAAAAAAATTTTAAAAAAAGAAAGAATCAATACATGTAAAGTTCTTGATAAATAACTATTAGCAATATAAATAATAATGACGGCACATGAGGAATATTCAACATCATAGAGTTATTATGTCTCCCTAAATAAAAATACAAATACCTTACCAGAATAACTCCAAATGAACCAGATCTACAAATGTAAAAAATGAACTCATAAAAGTACTTGGAAAAAAATGGCAATATTTTTTTATAACCTCTCGGTAGGGAAGAACTTTTAAACTATGATATAAAACCCAGAGTCCATAAAAGAAAATATAGTTGAAAAATATTAAATTCAACTACATGAAAACCATTCCACATGGCCAAAACTAGATAGAATAAGCAAAGACAAATGACAATCTGGTAAAAAAAAAAAAAAAAAAAAAAGCTGTATCTCATAACATAAAAGCAGGGCTAATTTTCTCTAATATTTAAAATGCTCTTACAAACCATTAAGAAAAATACCCAAAGGCCTAATAAAAACCAGTGAGCCACACCAGCTGGGCTAGATATTAAGTTTTTATTTATTTTTCTGTAGATGCATGCCTTTAATTTCACCTTCTGTTTGGTTGATCTCTACCCTTACCCCCACCCTCCCCTACCTTCCCTCTGAGGTTTGACAGTCTGATCAATGCTTCTGTTATTAAGTTTTTAAAATTAGCCTTTAAGATTTTTGATTTCTGGTCCTGGGTATAAAAGGAGAAGGATTTATACTCCCTCCCCCAGGCACGTATTGGTCGCGTTTGAAGAGAACATTTTCTATTTGTAAAGGGTGATGATGGAACTCTATAGGGTTAGGGGCCTTCAATGAGGCAGGCTGCACAGCTGCAGATATGAATATATATGAAAATGAAGTCATTTTAGTTTGTCCCCAAGGACGCTCAGGCTCATGAATGAATTCCCAGAAAATAATATACACATCAAAAGTACTTGATTTCTTTGTCTAAAATTCTCTTCCTGACAAGGGTTATACCGATGAAACAGTTTCTTGACTGGAATGTCTCTAAGGAAGAGGGAAATGGTAACATATATACAATTCTAATGTTCTAGGAATTATTTTACACTCAGCTATGTTAGTCACACATGATTTAATCCACTTTCCTGTGACAGTTTCTTGTTAAAATATGTTCAAGTGAATTATGTAAATGGCCTATTTTTGAATGTATTCTAAGGAATATACTAAAGCAGATGTCAGAAATTTACACAGTGTTCTATTTCCAACCCTTATTTTTTAAATGCCAACCATGCTGCAGAATCAGAGATGAACAGAGATGGAAACCAGACACAAAGGGAGACGTTCCAGGCAAAATATACTCACAGTAATAAAACTTCAAGCTCAGATAAAAACCTCTTCCATTGTTTCTTGCATTGCATTGTTTTCTCCTAAATATCATACAGAAAAACAAGGGGGAAAAATTACAGAAAGGCTCGCTATTCCTGGGAGTCTTAGCCTAGGGCCATGGTCTCCCTGAAATTAGATGAACTTTTTGGTGTAAGTGCAAATGAACATTTTTCTGGAAAGAGAATCCTTAGATTTAATCAGATTTTCAAAAATCCATTAGCCCCCAAACAGATTTAGAACCAATGCTATTAAATTTTAATTTTTTTTAAATTAAGTTTTTCATGCAATGCATCATGTTGCCATATTCTATAGTTTAAACTTTCACCTTTTTCATAAATTTAAAAATAGCATATGTATTCAAATAAATCCCATGATGTCTAGAAATTCCCCACTTGATCTCATGAAGAATTCAGTTTGTCATCCTCGCATTCTGGTTAGAAGTGATCTCACTAATTTGGCATTTGACTTGGGTCATGTGAACATGTTGGTTCATGTTTACCTCTGTATTAATTTTGAAAAGATGGGCCTACTAAGCAAATGGAAAATATAACTCCTTACTTCAAAGATGCTTCAGGAGCTAGCCCAGTGCCTGACAAATATTTATTGAATAGATTAATGAGTTCAATGATATTGTACTGAGCATCTATTCTGTGCCTAGCACTGCTCTCCAGGGCTTCATACACCTTATGTCCCACTTGTCTCTGAATCTCAGGTTCCTAACTTCTACCATAAAAGACTTAAATTAAGTGTGTCCTTAGGTCCCATCACCTGTAAGGTTCTTTCAGTTGCAAATTGCTAAACTGGGCAGTTTTCAGACCTCTCTGTCCTCAGAAATAAAGGGAGAGAAGTCCAACAAGAATTCTGGAAACTATTTTCCGAGTTAATCCAGAAAGTCAGAAACAATAAACTAGTTTGACAGCTCATTTTCAAAGACATCTTTATGAAAATTTATATTTTAAAAAAACCATTGTCATGAGATCCAAGTGGATTGGGTCTCGGGCTCATTTCTAGCACTCACTATTGGTGACTTTTTTGTCACTTAATCTCCCTGAGGTCAGAGCTTTCTTAATCTGAACAGTGAAGGGTTTAGTTTCTATGTTTGCGCTAACCTAGCATTCTTGCTGCTCAAAGTGTGGTCTGTGCACAAGGAACATCAACTTCACCAGGAGCTGGTGAGAAAGGCTGAGTCTCAGGTCCCTGCCCAGATGTGCTGAGTCAGAACTGTAAGCTCCCCAGGTGTTGGATGTACCTATCTCACACATCTAGTATGTTTCCCTCTTCCTTTGTCATCTCCTGTCTTTTTACTCCTAGAAATCAGCAACAAAAATCATAAAACGGGCATATTTATCATTCATTTCATTGCTTGACAAACACTTATTGAGCAACTACTATGGTTCAGGCCCTGTAGTGAGGCACTGGGATACTAATATAAATAAGAGCTCTTTGAAGAAAACCATCTAGCCTATTGTGAGAGACGGGTGAGGAAATCAATACCATGATATAATGCTGTGATGCTGTGTCTACACTTAGGAGGGTCAGCAAAACCATCCTGGAAGGGTCAGAGGCAATCAAAGAAATAATTCTCTGGGGCAGGAAAGGAAGGAGATCTAGAGGCAATGATACCTCATTCTGAAGCCAAACTCCTGGAAACAAAACTCCCCAAAGGGAGTGTGAGTTGGTGGAGAGAAGAGGAAGGTAGATGGATGGAGCCTTTGGGGAGGTGGCCCTGGGGTGCAACCAAAGGAGAATGTACAAATGGGGCCAGAGACATATTAGTGCTAAGACACAGGCTCTATAGTTAGGTCACCTCTACACTAACCACATTCTCTGTTGAATGGTTTTACTGGTAAATAGTTCCATTTGTTTAATAGACCATTCCTCTTACCAGAAATTTTGAGATGTCTATATAGAATTAGTGGACAAAATGCAATTGAGGAAATGGAGAAATCAGGCTAATAATTTTTTTAAGTCCTTGTAATTTAAGCTGCAAAGTAGGATTCATCTCAGGTCCTCCCTCTTTCTCCCCTATTTCCCCAGTCCTATCTAATAGATCACTGTTTTGGTCCATTTCATCTCTTTTCTTAGACATTCTCCTTGCCATCCTCCCTGCCTCTACCCCATCTTACACTGGCTATGTATGAACCACCTAGGAAGCTTTTAAAAAACACTGACGCCACCCTGGCTGCTGTGGCTCAGTTGGTTGGAGCATCATCCCATATGATGCCTCCTATATCAATGTTTCTCTCTCTCTTGCTGGCTCTCTCAATATCAATTTTTAAAAAAATATTGATGCCTGCCACCTCCGCCCCTAGTCTGACCTAACCAGACACTAAGGGGATCATTTTTAAAAATATATATATTTTATTGATTTTTTACAGAGAGGAAGGGAAAGGGATAGAGTTAGAAACATTGATGAGAGAGAAACATCAATCAGCTGCCTCCTGCACACTCCCTACTGGGGATGTGCCCACAACCAAGGTACATGCCCTTGACCGTAATCACACCTGGGACCCTTGAGTCCGCAGGCCGATGCTCTATCCACTGAGCAAAACCGGTTAGGGTGATCATTTTTTTTTAGAGCTCCAGAGGTGATTCTAATATTAGGGCTAAGAAATTAGTTTAAGCTCAATTCATGTACACATCTGAAAGATCCCTCTGCCAGGTCTTGTCACCTCCGGTCTAAGTTCTTGCCACCCTTCCTCCAATGCTTCTGCTCACTTCCTGTCTACCATCTAATCAAAGTTACATTTCAGGAACTCAAATCTAGTCTTTTCACTCTCCCTCTTACAAACCATCCATGGACGTAACCTATCTTTCCAGTATCATTTTCTGCCTCTTCCTTCCCACCCCCACACTGATCTCTACTCCACTGAACGACCTATTAGTCATGAGTAAGATGCTTTCATGCCTGCGCCTTCAGGCCTGTGCCTCTACTTATTCCACCCCAGACGTACTTCCCTCCCTCACTGCCGGCCAAGTTCTACTCATCCTTCAAAAGCCAGCTGAAAGGTCACTTCCTTCCATCCACTCCTCCATCTGTTCACTGCAGACACTTTTAGTGAATGGTTACTCGGTGCCAGGCACTCTCCTGGGTGCTGGACGCGCCCCTCCTCTGGCTATATGGTACGTGATCCTGTGACTTTTTGGACAAATCGCTGCTAAAGTACTTCTCACATTGCAATTTAACATTTTCTTTAGCTGGCTGTTTCCCCTGTTAAACTCTGAGCAACTTGAGGACGAAATATGCCTTATTCATCTTTGCCGGCTCAACACCCAGCCCATAGAAGGAGTTTAGAAACTAGTAATCGTTGGCTAACAGTGGAGCACATGAGGAGAAGCTCTTTGGGGGGTATGGTGTACCTATCTCTGCCCGACTCCTGGGTTAGATGCCTCAGGACCCTTGCTGCTCTACTGGCTGCAATCGCTCAGCTGTCTCCCAATCTCCCACTCTCATTGTTGCCTTGCTGCTCCTACTTGAAGCCTCCCCTTTGCTACCCTCCAGAGCTCTGACAGAAGACCATTTATCAAGTAGCATGGGATGCCAGTCTGTGGCTTAGTCTGTGAAGCTGCCCATCAAACAAACAGGAAAATGGGAGCAGCCGGTACAATCTGACCATCTGAAGCGAAGTCCCAAAGGTCCTACAAGGCTTTTCAGAAAAGTCTTTCTCATGCAATACATCTGGGGGTGGGAAGGCTTTGACTTCCACATTCCTGCCAGACAGTCATTCATTTCATTTCTCCAGTCACCTGAGATCATATATCTTATTTCCATTTATGAAATTATATTTTCAAATGCACCTCTTTTCAATCTTGATGAAAAATGACACCTTCTAGTATGAAGCATAGCAAATAAGTGGAACTGATATCCTGTGGCAGTAATTCTTTCCATACCTGTTTAAACAACTTAATGGCATAGGTTTGGTTTTGGATCTCCGCTCTGTATACCTCGAAAATCTCCCCTTCTCCGATGAGGAAACCTTTGTGGAAGTTGTTGGTTCCTTCTATGATGTTTTGAAAGCTGATAGAAGAGTTAAGCACTATTCCTTTGGAAGGAAAGTAGAGAGAAGATAAGTTGCCTTTTCTTTTTTTAAGAGTCAATGCCACCATTATAAAGAACTAGGCCTTCCATATCAGAAACACATTGAAACCCCGTGGAAAGTCAGTCGGGTGAGGCCCAGGAACCAAATGGAAACCCACCATGTGCTCTCTACAAATTTATTCAGGTCTGGTGCCCACCATTTCACAGAGCAAATGGCTTTTTAGATATTCCAACAAGAGCACTGTGGTTCTATCACTCTTACAAAGAGATCAGCCTAAAAGCTTAGTTGGGAAACTTTTCCAAGGTTCTGTTTCTTTGTCACTAGAACTATGAAGAATGTAAAAACCAGTAAAAAAAAAAAAAAGTATATTAGTGGAAAACTTGCTGTTACTAAACAATATTTTCCAAGAATGACTGATGGAAACATTTTTCATTAGCCAAAACTTCTAAATGCCTATTTTTACTTCTGCAGAATAAATTAGGAAGATGCTAAAGCAGAGATTGGGAAGAAACATTTAAAAAGTAATCAAATATAAATACAAAAGCAAAAGCTTGGCTAAATCCTTCAGAACCCAATTTTGGCTATATTTCCACATTTAATGTTTGATGTAGACCCTACTGCTAAATCTTAAAAGGACCAACATTTTCTAAATCTCTCTTGAACCAAAGAAGCATCAGATCTAGTGGCAAGGATTAGACAAGGCAGCCTTAGAGAGCCACTAAAGTTGATCAGAATGATTCCTAGGCAGAACTAAATTATTCTCTAGGAAAGTTGATACGGGAAATAACTGGATTTTCATAGTGACTTTCAGAATTGCTCTACAAACATCTCTAAAAATCTCTGTGAATGCCATGAAAAAATTTAAAGCTATGTAAAACCCAACATAGTTTTTAGATGTTTCCCTGACACATAAAAATAGCAAATTTCACTAACAAAAAATAAGAAATCCCCTAAGAGACCACAATTATGTTCTTCATTGGCCAATAGACTTTTTCTTCTTTTTTTTTATGTGTCCTTTTTTCCCCCCGCCCTTGACAATCCCCTGGCCTCCCCTACCCCCCAGTGTCTTATGTCCAGCCAATAGATTTTTAATTTCATAATGATATATCATCAGAACTGTCTCAGTCAAAATTGCAAATATTTTTATATCTATGAAAATATTGTCCTGAATCTGCATATTAATGAATAGTTAATATACTTATTGGATATTTCTCCCTCTCAAAAGACTTAATTGAACACATGATTTAAAAAGAAGTTTGGGTGTTTGATTTTTTGTGTGTGTGTTTTTTACCTTTTTTATTATGTTCAAGGATAGGAACATTACCCACTGCGACATTGGCTGTTTCCTAAGAGAAGAAATACATATTAAAGTAATTCAGTTTCATAAGTCTAGATAGAACAGAATTTCAACAGAAATCCAAAGCTCCCTCTGGGACTATACATTTCAATAGAGTGAAATCTAATTTAGAAGAAAGCTAGTAGAAAGCAAAATTATTGTATTTTATTCAATGATATTCATTGCCTTATATATTTAAGGCTTCCAGACCAACTGTAAAAACTCAAATATCAATGTCATATTCAGTTATACTCAATTTTAAATGACTTCTATTGCTATAAAAGTGATCGCTGCTAATTTGCTGTAAGAAAAGCTAACAGCAATATGCAAAGCACCAATTAGAACAGGAAAATTAAGACAAATGCATTACTCCCAGCACCCTTAATAGTTCTAAGTCTCATCTCTGATAGATCACTGCGAGGAGAAAGTGAACTCTTCAAGCACCTATGAATCTCTAATTTCCTGAATCCCCAACTAAACAAAGAATAACGAGAGCTGGGCTTTTCCATGGGTACCTGAAGTGCAGTATTTTTCTGCACTTATGCTCAATTATGTATGCAACAGAATTCAAGGGTCATTATCTGTGCGCACACACTCTACCTTGGAGAACAAGTCTGGAAATCCATCCCCCTGATGACGCTGCTCTGGAGGATTCAGGGCTGCTCCTGAAAGAGAGGTAAGGGGAGCTAGATACAAAAACCTTTTATGTTCCTAATAAACATGTTCTTTTTTTTCTTTCTTAGACTGCGAAAATAAACACCTTGCTAGTAATGTTCATTTCCAAAGCTCAGTTTCATTTTCATTGAATGGTTGCAAATGTATGCATGTGAATAGCTTTCTAATGGTCAAATACTTTTTTTATTATTATTATTAAGGTATTACAAATGTGTCCTCATCCCCCCCATTAACCCCCAACCTCCCCCCACACACACACTCATGCTCCCATCCCCCTGTTGTCCATGTCCATTGGTTTGGCTTATATACATGTATACAAGTCCTTCGGTTGATCTCTTCCCCTTAGATCAAATACTTTACAAACATATTTTTTTCCACTTAAAACAGGAATACCTACCTTAAATTAGTGTTAGATATTATTTATTTTTTTATTTTTTACTTTACTGATTTTTTACAGAGAGGAAGGGAGAGGGATAGAGAGTTAGAAACATCAATGAGAGAGGAACATTGATCAGCTGCCTCTTGCACACTCCCTACTGGGTAAGTGCCTGCAACCAAGGTACATGCCCTTGACCGGAATCAGCTCTGGGACCCTTGAGTCCGCAGGCTGACGCTCTATCCACTGAGCCAAACCAGTTAGGGCGTTAGATATTATTTAAAAAAGTAAACTAGAAAGTTGAAAGAAAAAAAAAACATTATCATCTTTTTGCACATATATTTAATTTTTGTTTTTTAAAATTATAGGATTTTATGCCATAAGTGTGTATGTGTGTGGGTGTGCATGCATGTTGTGTACATGTTTGTGTTAACCACTACAAACACCTGCCACTGCTCCCCAGTTTTAGGCTGTAATTTCTGTCTGTTATAGTTCTGTCTGAACTGAAGTAGTCTACGTGACTTCCTACAAAAGATTAAAGCCCTGCAATATTTTGCAGTCGCTTCTGATATTTTGATTCAGACTTTAGAAAATTTTCATTTCATCTTCAAATTTTTCTTAGTGTTCTACTGTTTCTTAAATTTGCTTAGAAGAAGACTGGCAACAAAACACAATAGATTAATAACAAATCTCCTTGGAAAATACTATAAACTAAACATTATAGACCTATTGAATATTCCCTCCCAAAACAGAAGACTATATACATACTTCACAAGTGCACATTGAACACTCTCCAGAAGAGACACATTTTAGGTAACAAAATGAATTAATTTGGCAGGGTTCAAATTATATAAAGCATATTCTCTGACCACAATGGAATTAAAGCAGAAATA